GGAAGGTGGAGCAGCGATCAGGAGCGGATTAAAACTGCGAGGGAACTCAAATCATTGGAAGCTTTGATATTATAAAAAAATTATTTAATTTAAAAATGGAAGGAAAATTCAGAATTTATTATAATATTAACTCCTTTAAGTAAGATGCTTTTTGTACAATTATTTGAATATTAAGGTACCTAAAGACTTAGTAAATTCCGACCATAAGATCCACATCCCCTTATTATAATACAATATAGGCTAAACCCTCCCTGTAACTATCTTTACTATTCCATGACAGTGCAAACCCTAAAACGTAAACAAGGCAGGCCAAGTCTTAGGCAAACGTCCTGCTCTGTTGATCAATCTGCGCGACGCCTACCCAAAAACGAAGAATCCTCTTCGTCCGGCTAAGTCTCGGCCGGCTTTAGCTCCAACTTTAGCCCGAGCTGCATCCAGAAGTCCAACTCCAGATCCGCTCCCATCTCCTCCGCTCCGTTGTTGGTGTCTCGATTGGCGACAGGCGACAAACCTGTCTGGATGCGAAGAGTTCTTTGGGAGTCGATGCTTGGCCACTTGCCTACATTGTAGGCCGACTTTGGCTGCGGCTTTGACTTTGGCTTTGGCCATCAACTTGTCGCTCTTCATGGCTGAGCGATGGCGATGGACTGCACAGGGAAAATAATCTATTTCAGCTTGGCTTTCAAAGATTAAAATCTTTTAATATCGGTTCGAATTAACAAAATATTATTTCATAAAATTTCCGTTAACTGCCTTTCAAAAAGGTTAACTTTGATATCAAAGGAACTATTTTATTTAAAGCGATCCAATAAAAAAGTATTGAAAGAGGAATAATTTAAATGAATACCATTTTTTACAAGCCTTTTCTTCAGAGAGTTGCATGAGGTTTATCATTATGAATATCTGTTGAAAAAGTACACTTCTTTGTGACTTCCAAAAGCAGCTTTGTTTTTTATACAAGAATTTTTTTGAATATATATTTTGATCGATAAAAACCCATTAAAAACTGTCAAGGCATTTTTTCCTGTGTGCAATGGGATGCTATGGGATCGGATAGGAAAGGATGGGATAGGATGGGCTCTGCCTGGCTGGCTGCCTTCAATCAGTCGAACGCAATTCGAGTTGACAACATGTCGCAAATGCGTGAGTCTTCCTGGGGAGTGCGGGGGGAGGGATGTTACAACATGGTACACTCTTATGATTATATAGATTATATTGCCCGCCATCCCAGGCAGCCGCTCCTCTGCCAACCGCCATCCGCCTGAATCATTCATCCATCCTTTGGTCCAGTCAGCCGCATGTAATCCACATTACCTTCCCCCGATTCCTCCGTGAGTTGTTGGCGTGATTGAAAGATTGAGTGCCAGGCACAATTAAAGTGCTGCATGATGATGTATGTATGGCAATTGTCACAAGTCCTAATTTGGCTTCGATTGCTTAAGCCAAATGCAATGGAACAGGTGGGAGCAGGTGGCAAAAAAAAGGGACAAAGGATCATTCAAATGAATCAGAAGGGGATAATCCATTGAACAAAATCTGGAGAGCTTAAAGGTTTCCTCTTCGTCAGATATCGCCTAACATGCTTTAAGTGAAAAGCTAAAGGAATCAATTTCGAACTACAGAGAGAGGCATTTGTAACTAACAAAATGCTTAGCAAGTTTTCCTATTTAAAAACTTTTATAAAACCTTTGAAAGATACTTCTAAGTTCCCCTCAGAATCAAGTTCTGATTTCCGGATTTTCCATCGCCAATAAACTGTTTACTAAATTCGATCTGCCATTTTCCGCGTGTAACAGGAAAACTTTTGCCAACTCATCCAGCGTGTTTATGGCTAGAAGAAACCTTCATTATTTATACGCTTATCTCCGTGATAAACTCGCTTCAACGGCATTTGCCTGTGGTGGCCGGGCACTTCCCCTCGAATCCATTTTTTTTTTCTCTCCAGCGACTTAAACAAATCATTAAATACATCGCTTTGGCATCAGGTGGAGAAAGGGGTGACTCAATCAAACGCCCATTCTACGGACCATTTGTGCACCTGTCGCCGCAGCCAAAGGCGCCTGGAAATTGCGGAAATGCGCTTCTGCCGCGGCCAGAAGCATCGGTTATTGGTAGCAGCATAAAGGCAGATTATTGACACAACAATAAAACTGCACAACAATCAAAATAATACAAGATTTACAACGAACCAACGGCCAGTGAAATGAGATGGAGCTGGAGTTGCAGTTGGAGATGGAGATTCCGCTGGGAATATGGGTGTGTGTTGGGCTGGCACAAAAAGTGCAATGAAAATGCACAATAAAATAAATAAGCGCATAAAAGGTGAGCGGCGAAAATTTGCAGTAATTTGAGATTACGTTGGCATTATGAGCCGTTGGCTTGGTGGCGGCTTGGTGGAAAGCGGGAAGAATCGCCACGAGACCTGCCAGCGAAACGTTGCCAACTTTTACTGCGGCGACAGCAGAAACTCAAAAGAAACCCAGGTCCACAAAGCCGCAGCTGTTAATGAATGGCAATGGCTTTGTTGGTAATGAAGTGTTGGCCATAATGCCGCCATGACGATGACGACCACGACAAGACAAAGTCTTCCAGCAAGCAATGACGACTTTGGCACTGGCAGCGATACGCCAAGATAAGGAGGGTCCTTGCGCAGTCAGTGGTTTAGTTGGGTTTTAGTTTCGGCTTGTCTTAGTCTTGATTTTCAGGGTGGCAATTAACCTTGGCAAAGTTACGAAATAGTAAACAAAGTGGCAAGAAAAAAGATGTTTTCCATCAGGTCCAGGAAGAAAGTTAATAGAAGAATCATACAATAACTTAAAAAATAAATAAATAAAGTAAAAATATATTTTTTCTAAAAACTTCTTCTGCCATTCAATAAAAAATTTAGTATTTACAAACGTATGGAGAATTTCTCATAAAAAACCGGAATCACTGCCATAAATGGAATTTCCGTTCACTGAGGTAATGCAAAATACATAATGCATCCCATGCAACACATTCGGCCATTCCAGTAGTAAGCATAAATTATAAACATTTAGCCTAATGGAAAACTTTGATATGGGCATAAAAATATGACATAAAATACTTTACAACCCAACATGGTCATAAAGCGCAACTGCGCAGACAGTAGAAGGCCAGCAAAATAAATATGAATAAAGAAAGGCATGCAAAACGGCGAAGAAAGGCTTGCACTAATCGGACTTTTCTTTTTTTTCGGGTAGTAAAATTCACAGAAAATTCAATGTTCAAACTTAGGAGGGGGAAAGCCGAGGGAGCCACTGCTGTCCGTTTGCTGTTAAATATTTGTCTTTGATTTAAGCCGGAGTTTGGGACTTTAAGCGACACTTCTCCACTTCTCCATCTGCAGCCCCCATCTCCATCTCCATCTCGAACTCAGTTTCCATTTCCATCACCCTTTCTGACCATTTGCATTGTCTTGGCCTGTTGTTTTTACCAATAGCACGGAGATGTTGGAGGCTTGGCCATGCCAAACTGACATGCAAGACACAAATCATGATTTGCTGGCAATGTGGCTGGTGGCATCCAACTCGTTTACAGCTGCGCCTGCCGAGACGTCAACAATGAAATTGTCAAGTGTTGACAAATAAATTTGAGGATTTCGAGGAGATTTACTTATGCTAATGAAAGACACTTGTCACAGATACTCGTCGTATGAGTACGAGTACGAGTACGAGTACAAGGCGGCATCGCCTTGAAGTGCGAGGCCACGTTGGCTCGCATAAATATGTTTGCTCTTCGGGGTTTTCTTTTTTCTCACCCATGAGGTTGGAGTTTGGTTCTGGGAGCTGGCCAGTTTGGCTTAGAGCCGGAAAAAGTACCGTAACAAATTTGCAAAGCGAAAGAATTTGAGTAGAAACACTAAATTAGCCAAAGGAGAGAGAGGATGGGGATTTTCCTGGAATGGTAGGACTCCAGTTCGTCACATAAATATTTATGGATGTTAATGCTGTGAAGTGAATTGCCCACTGAACATTGCAGTTTTTTCCGAGGAGACTATGCGGAAGAAAAGTTTTCCTAAAAATACACCAGACAAAACCGTATTCCATTCAAAATTAAATAAAACATATAGTCCAACCACTGATTTAAAATAAAGTTGCCGTGGTTAACATTATTTTGTAAAGCATTTTACTAGATAAATTTTAATTGAATAATTTTTAACGTGTTAGCTTGTTTGAGAATTTTTTTCTTGTGAAGTTACTGCACACGGTAAGCCACTTAAGCATTTCAGGTTGATCGGAGGTCATATCCGTAGCTCAACCTAATTAGAGTCCACCTGCCCGACGGGATCCATCCATCGCGTCTATCCCTTTCGGATCCCAGCACTTCACACGCTCATCAAATTGACGCCTCGGCCATAAATCCAGCGCCAAAACATTGTAAAGAAATGAAAAATCTCAATTGCCATCTACCTGTGAACTCTGGCCGATAAAAAACAATAAATTTCTAAAATACAACCACTAAATTGCATATCTCGCACACATACTGGCCACATATCAAGTGCCTATTTTGGGGTACACCTAAAAAAAAGTCATAAAAACTAAAAGTTCAAATAATTCTTTTTAAGTATGGCATAAGAAATGGAAGAATGTTTTTTTTTTTAATACTTATGCACATCAATAAATTAATACAATTGTGAAACTATGCCTGCAAATTATATTTCCTAAACCAGACCAAGCAAATTATCTATTTATTATGCACACATATTTCTTTGAGTGCATTGCAGCATAATTGAGTAATTAACTCCGAAAGTCACTCGAAACGAAACCAGTTCTCCACTCCAATCGTTCCGCTGCCACTCAAACATGCGCAAGCCGGTTTGGGGAACGAGTGGGGCGGAACGGGACGGAAACTTGTGTCCATTGCCAAACGTTCCTCCATGGCGATGTTGTTGTCGACGCTGACGTCGGCAGCGCTGCCGCCGCTTATGCTGGCAAAAGATTCAGATACGTTCGGTTCGAGATACTTTTGGGTTCAGTTCAAGTTGAGCGCTTTCTGACGTTCGTACAACGCATTTCCGCGGCCGTCTGCAACTCGCATCTGCGGCGAGAATTTCGCGAAAATCCAACAGCGAATTTTCCCATCACTCGGTGTACAAATATTTAAAACCCATTGGGAAAATCGTGTTTTATTGAAAAACCCATTTGTTGTTTCGCGCGAAAGTGTGCTATCAAGTGCCTGCATTTACCGAATTAAATATATACACATCTATCTAACACACATGCAACATAGGATGCAATGTATTTGTTTTTAAAACCCCTGCAAGTGCCAAAGAGAAAAGTTTTATGCAAATAAAGTATATCGCAATAGCAGTAAATTAAATATTAAAATCCATCTGTCTGTATAAAATCCATCGGATGAAAAATTCACAACAAGTGCAACACAGCAAATTGAAAAATCTCTGCACCGTTGGAGAGGTTGTGGCAAAAGTTTGGCATTTGTTTTTGGCCAGCATTTTTCCCCGCCATTTTCCCCCCTTTTCGCGGTGACGCCTGCGCAGCTGTTAGAAAAATCTAATTGGATACTTTTCTGCCAAACGGACACCGGAAACGGAAGTGGGCTGCCATTCGCAATAGACTAACTACTACTAACTAGCGCGGCCTCTGTGAAGGTAAGTTCAACAGGATAATTAGCCGCTGCAGCAGGAAGAATCTTTTGTTAGATGAAAATAAATAGAAGCAAGTCATTATGAAAGAATTTCACACGATAATGACACTGACACCGATAAAGAAACTCAAGCTGGCGTTTGTCATAAGCCTCAAAACATGCCAAAATAATGTCAGTCAGTCAGCCAGCTTTTGTTTGCCTCTGCTTTGCATCTCGTATCTTGTATCTCGTAGCTCGCTTTTTATAGCCTGCGTTTTATAGTCTGATTAAATTTGACAGTTGACAGCATTTTGGCCTTATCTGAATGGCTCAAATCGCTCCACTTCCTCTCGCGTGTGTGTGTTTGTTAAATGTTAATTGTTGACAATTTCGTATAAATTGACAATTCAACTGGCGTTTTACATGGCTCGTAACAAACATATCGGCATTGGGCCGGCGATGAGTGTCTGATGTTTGGCCTAATGTATTATTAACTAGGCCAACAACTGAATGACTACGCACACATTAGGCCCACTTTACAAGGGCGTGATTTAATGGCCCAGTTGTTTATTTTCTTGGCGTTTTTTAGTGCAGATTTGGTTGTAATATCAGGCTTAATGAGCGGAAAACCTAGCAGGTGATTTACATTGACATTAGTTACTCTATTTGCGGTTATAATAAAGCAAACTTGTATATTTACTTGGCATTGAACCCAAGACAATTGAACTGACTTTAAGAGGTATTTTTGTGAATATCTCATCCATTTCAATATCAACAAGTGCTGACTTTTTAGAGGTACAATACGTTCTTAAATCCTATCTAAACTCTTCCCATAATTGTTTATCTAGCAACCACAGATTATACTGAGAGCCCTTAGTTTAAACGTGCTAGAATGTCCAAGAAGAGCTCCAAAGTGACAAAACTTTTTCTTTGGCAAACTTGGCTTTTTGCACATAAACACTTGCCCACAAAAAGTAAGCCAAAACAAATTTTCTTTTTTGCCACATTTGTGTGCCCGAGTCATGCAATGTTTCTTGCTGCAACAAGCATAAACATAAAAACAAAACTACCAAAAAAAAAAAAAAAAAAGATTGGGCAAAAGAAAAAGCGGCACAAGGTCAGAAAGAGGCACACCTCGATAAGCAGCTGCCCTTAGCCACCAGTTCTCAACTTTTAACTCGGTGCCCTAAGCTCACGAACGTGGCGACTTCCGTCCGACAAATTTTTAGATTTCGAAAACAAATTTGCAACACGTACTCTCTCGGCCAATCAAAGGTTTTTTTTTTTTGTTTTGTTGCCCCGACTCCGAGTCTAAATTTATATAAGCGAGAAAATGTCTTTGTCGGCCTGAGGTTTAATTTATGAAGCCTACAGCTATTATAATTCGCACTGTTCAAGGCATTTTGCATAAACAAATGTGTCTTTCATGTTTCGTTCTTTCTTTCTTTCTTTCTCTAATGTTTATTCAAATTCGTTGGCCGATTGTCTTAGCCGCTTGTCTGTGTCTGGTTTTGTGTCTGGAAGTCTAGACTCCAGCAGGAAGGAAGCCCAAGATGGAGACTGCACTTGAACTTGAGACCCTCACAAGTATTTGTTCCCCGGGATTCTGTGTGGGTTCGGTGGTTGGTGGCAACCCTTTTTTTTTTGCATACCATATTTCTTCCCTCGCATGTGTGTAGCTACTAAAAAACGAAAAAAAAAAAAGAAATGGGAAAACAAAAACATGCCACAGCCCATGAATGAAATAAGCCCGGTCGAGGGTGATATATCAGTAGACCGAATGCGACTCCCCCTAGAGCTAACCAGACCAGACAGCCATCATCCCGCTCCCAGACACCTTTGTTTGCCCAGATCTTGATGTCTGGGGCAAGAGTGAGCCGCTTAGTGGCTGGCTTCCCAGCAGTCCAAGTCCCCGGCTCTTGTCAACTATTGTCAAGGCTTTAATTAGAGATTTCTATTGCCATCCTGCCATCGCTATCTCTGCCGCCCATTATGCTGATGGATTCAGCTGAGCTTGCTCATTTATATTATAATTAATATATGTGTGGCAGACAGCTGCTGTAAGGGAATTGAACTTTGCCACTTAATTGAAACTTTTTCCTTGCCTCCTCTTATGGCCCGCATGGCGTATGCGTGATATAATTGCAGCTGCCAAAAAGTTATGCCAAGCAGTTAGTCTCTGAAACTTACTCAAGGCACACTTGAGTTAAATATTAATTACACGTGCTCATTGGCAAATTACATTAACCCAACCAGCTATCATGATGAGTTTTTGGGTAGAGGATCCGAAACCAATTAGGATTTATTACTCGCCTGCGCAAAGCATAGTTTTCTGGGTTCGTATCGGGAATGTTAGGGAGCTGTTTTACTAATACAATATCGATAATATCTACAAACTACAATAAAAAGCTTCCCATTTGTTAAAAAACGAATCTAAGGAATATTTATGGTATGTGGTAGCCCTAACTAACTAATTATGTAAAAGAATGAAAATTATATTCCTTGATATTATCTTTACTTTGCAAATATATTCCACAAGCAGAGATCATAAAATATTTAAGTGGGTGGGAAATGATTCATGTTATTTAAAATCGTTTGAAGTAATAAACTACTTGATCTCCATAAACAACAATCAAATAATTAAAGATGGTACACATTTAGTGTCATTTTATCTATGATTTATTTTAAGAATTATAAAAGGAGTGAAAGAATAGTTTTTTATAGATTTAAGGTTTTTCTAATGAGCACCATAAACATAGAGAATTTATGGGATCTGTCTAATCAATGCCATTTCAATCGACGCAATAAAAATTTCGTATAATCAAAGGAATGCAAATTTTGCTAATCCCATCTTATCTGATATATTTCAATATATACAAAGTATACTTTGTTTAGATAAGGTTAAAGGAGGAGCCAAAGAGTTGGCAGCCGAAAAGGGGCGACTGTCTTTTCTATATCTCCCAAGACACACAATAAAGAATACGCCGACGCCAAACGACGACTTTGATATGGGGTGATGATGAGCTCTAATTTCGAAATTATACAAGATTGGCTGTGAGAAGAAGAACTGGAGCTGAGGATGGAGATCTGAAGAGGCTGTCAGCTTGGAGGCCCGAGTTTCGGTTTCAGTTCAGCTCCTCGTCGCTTTTCTTGTTGTTTCTGTTGTTGGCCACATAACAAGTTAATTTTGATGTAAATTTCTGTTTTGGTACCCGAACGAACGAATGGCAAAAACCGAGACAACCAAAACGAAAAAGAAAAAATCGAACCGGTTAACATAATCACTTAATTTTGTGATTGTGTATCTGTATCTCAGATTCGGCATCTGTGTCTGTGTCCCAGCCATCGTTTTCAGCTCGTAATCGTCTTTTGGAACTCTATACCCATCGTTTGGTTTGGTGGGCTTTGTATAGAAGTGTCAATATTATTAAGTGATGATGTCCCCATCTGAGGCTCAAGCTTTGATAAACGAGCCGATGCTGTAAATAAAACAGAGCAACAAAAAGCCGGGGTAAAAAAAAAAAAAACGTACAAAAGATAAATAAACAGAGGCCCGCTAAGCTCTAACTCATCCGAGTTGATAAATTGTATCTATATTTATGTATGTTGCTACCAGCAAATAATTTACAATGTTTGAACGGGCAAACTAAAACCGGCAAGGGCAAAAAATGTGTAGAATACAAAAAAAGAAAATTGAAACAGCAAAGCCGGCAAAAGCAAAAACACACGAGCAAACACAAAAAGAAGTAGCTAAAAACAAGCGCAACATAGAGCCACAAAAAAAGTCACTACTAACAAAAGAAAAAATTCGAAACAAATGCTGAATTATTAGCACACAAATCGCCGGCAGCAATGGAAGAAGAAGAAGCAGGGTCAGTGGGTGGGGTTTTTGTTTATATTTTTATTTTTGCTGCTTATTCATGGCAGCAGTAGTCACAACAAAAACAAGAACAAATTGCCAAGAAAAAAACTTGCAGAATAGCAACACGTGAAAACCGCAACAAAAACCTGGCACTGCAAAAAGTAAAAAAAAAAAAAAAAAAACAAAAAGGGGGGTTAAAAACAAAACAGAACAGAACAAACTAAAGAAAAACCAGCCACAAAAACGCCACTCGAATATGACGAAAATAAAAACTAAAACACATAAACTCGCTTGCATTTGGCTCCACTTGAATGAGACAGATTGTTGGGGGGTGTATGCGAAAGTTCTGCCAGATTACCAGCAGATTGAGACTTATATGCGATCCTTGAGATTGCCGCCGCCGAGCGTGAACTTGTGGAGCGACCCTCGCAGATGCAATTACCCTGCATCGTCTGCATCCTCCGTGTGTTTTGTACATTTCGCCCGTGTGCTGCTCGTGTGTGGGTAACCATGCATTTATGACGATTTTAAGCTCGCAGGCATCATCAGCAATGCGATGCAGAGATGCGCCAAGCCAACCCAAGCAAGCCAAACAGGCGAGCGCTAAAACCAAACTAACTATAAATAATACCAAAAGCCAACAATAGCAAAAAAAAAAAATCAACAGGAACCGAGGTGAACCCGGCTGCAAAAAGGGGCTGGGAAAGGGGAGTTTCCTCCCCATTTACCACACAGCAAATGCACACAAAAGTAAATTATTTTCCAGATGATAAAAGATTAACATTCTAATGCCAAAGTCAAAGCCAACACAAAAGTGTATGAAATACAGAAGTATTTCCCAGTAAATACAAAACAATTATTTTAGGCTCTTTAATTTTTTCACCAAAACAATTGTGTTTCAAAATAGCAGTTTAATGGTTTTTTATGCTAATATAGTCTATTAAACATATAAATTTGGAAAGAAAATAGGTATGTGAAGCATTAACCAAATTCATTAAAATTTTTTTTTTTATTGTGGATAGATCTGAAATTAATTTTTATAGCTAATTTCGAATAATATTTCTTTCTCTGTAGGCAGCTGAGAAAACGAATGCTGGGCGAGAGAAAACAAAGCAAAATAATAATACAAATAACTATAGATGCATAGATAGGAGGATAGTTAG